TGACCCCAAGCAAATGGAGAAGTATATAGATAAAATCGTAGTTTACTGTAAATGTTAAAAATTGATCATGCAGGAAACCATAACTGGAAGGAAGAATTTTATGATTATTTATTAATGTATTGTTAGACACCACATTCTATGATGGGGATAAGTCCAGCAGAATTATTGTTCAACCGTGAGATTGGAACAAAACTACCCGAATTTAGCAATGATATTGGGGTAATGAAGAGCTAAGAGAGGGAGAGATACGTGGAGAAAGAATAAAGGAAAGTAGTACTACAATAAACAGTATATGGTAAAAGAATGCAATATGATACCAGGTAATACTGTTCTCATGAAGCAGAGCAAAGAAAATAAATTGAGTTGTGAGTTTGATTCAATGAAATATCAAATAATTAGCAAAAATAGTGTCACTGTCAAATCACCGACAAGATGAATTGACAGTGACAGTGACAAATATCCTTACCATGAACATCTTCATGATTAAGAGATTTATTTCAAATGAACACATACCACCAGAAACAACTCAAGAGAGGTTCAGGGTAAGCACTGAATCAGGTCCAACACTAGAACTTAGTCAACTCAGCAAGCAAGGCAGCATTGGAATGTGAACCAGGTTGGAAAGGTCAAGAATGGATAAAACTGTGCTGGAATAAAGACTAGCTATGTTTACATTAAATCATGTTAAGTGAGCTACATACACTACAGATGGTACAAGAAAATCATGACAACATGGTACAGGTCAGATTGCTTTCTCTAAAATCCTTAGGACCATCTCGCATAATGTCCCTGCAATAGTGCTTCCCATTACTACTCTATGTTGTGTGTATGCAATTCCATTAAGTTAAAGATTGAAGAATATGTAGCAAGATGTGTTAGTTCCAGTATTTGTTTTTTCATATTTATTGCATTTCCTAGATGAGCAATATGGTACAGGTCTGACAGCAGAGGGAATAGACATTAGACTTTTTGTTTTTGGTATTGTAACCCCCTTTACAGTTATAGTAAAACAAAAGTAGCATTTTTTGTGTCTTGTTGGCTTTCACCATGCCATCGAAATAGTAAATGAAAGAGAGTGTCTTGCCTCAATTCCATTTTCTCAGTTATTCAATATGTGTGAAAAATTTGATGTCGGTTACATTTCTTGTCCCAGTCTCTGAGCTTTATACCAAAGTATGCATGATATGCCTCTTCAACAAAATCTGCTATATTACACTTCTTTTCTTTTTTCATTACAAAGCTACTATCTCATACATAACAAAATGAATCTGGACTATTAATTCAGCTTCTTGATACCATAACATATTCATAAAGCATTAGACAAAAGTTAAAATAAGCAAAATGCACTTCCGTGTTATCACTTCAAATATACAGTTCCAAATGACATTTTCACATAAAATGTGACACAATCATTCATATAGCATCATTTGTTGTTTCACATTCCAACTAAAAGTAGAATATTTTGCTATTTGCATAATTCCACAATCTGCTTTTTGTGGAAAAATGTAAAAACTTCATGCATGATACAGAAAAACAGATTGGTATAGACAAATTACTATAAAAATCTTACATTCTAGAATTTACAAGTTTAAAATTGAACAAATAGTTGATACATACATGATAATTAAAAAGCAATAACTCAGATTAATTTCAACATTGTGTTATTAAGTCATTTGCATTTAATATTAGAGTATATGGAGGTTGATATGGTAATGTCGTGATCCCCTTCCTCTCCGCAAACTACACAGAAACACGATACTTTCCGGCAGTGGTGTCTGGAGGACTTAAACGGAAGTATTTCACAATATTCTTTACAAGTAAACTTCTTCTGTGATTCAGACTTTTCAGACTTCCCAAATTTGTAAACATTACAAAGAATTAGATATTTGAATACTTTTCTTTATTAAACTTACGACATAAAATGCATTTAGAGTTCTACAACCTTTATTGGTATCATATTAAACAGTTAAATTTACAGAATTCACAACCTATTAATGCCCCAGACCATTTTAAAATAATGTTGACCTTTAATTGTAAAATTTTCATGAAAGTCAAATACACAGTGTTGTCTTTTCCCAACTGTTGTTTGGACAAAATGCAATAATTTGCATTTTGTATGTCAGATTTTTATTCTAGATTTTCCAGATCCTCACAAATAATATTCTTTTACAATTAAAACCTTATCTAAACTCCAACAAATGTAAAATTTTTATTGCAGAAAGCAATGAACGTTAAATGTAAACGCTTTTCCCTTTTCCTCTAATTATTTATAATGTTTGATGATAATCTGTGTTTTTATAAGAAACTAATTTATATTTTCAGTTTTAGTCTTTGTTAAAAATATATAAACTTAAATAAATCTCATACTTTCCATGTTAAGTAAGCATTTTCTTCATTAATGAGTGAAAACTTAATTTAAACCCACTTTATTTTCATGCAGAAAACATTCTTCTTTAAAATTAAATCTATACAGTTTTATTTCAAAGAGAAATTATAATATTGTTTGGAAAAAATGGATTATTCTCTTTAAAAATACAGATTACTGTTTACTGTTGTCTTAAAATTTACATTTAAAATTTAAATAATTTGAAGGAAAACATACTTATTATTGCTTAATGTATCATCTGACATACATTTTCTGTTGCAAGTATAAAGATATATTTGAAATTCTAATTGTCTTCATATCTACCTTTGATCTCAAAAATAAGTACACAATCAAATATAAATAATGTATTATATCTTACAACAGAAAATGCATTTACAGTTCTTACAATTGGATATTATTGTGCCTAAAAGTCTGATTTAAATACAACAAATCTGCACAGAAGGCTTTGTTCCTGTAATTGAAACTTTATAATTCATCAGCTTGATGAATATTATTCTGTAAATACAGTAATTCTGTAACTCCTTGTTGCCGTCAGTCTTGATATCATTCACTAGGCTTGTGTGGGAATATATATACTGTGATTCACAGGCATCTGCAGGAGGAACAAATGTCTTCCCTTGAAATCGAGTAAAATATTCCACAGATTATAATTGTAAAAGTGATTGAGGTACATAACCTAACACTCACGACCACGGGACACTTTGATCTAATACTGTTTTCTATAATCTATTCGTTAATCTATTCGTAGAAAAATCCAAAAACATTAAATAATTAATTAAAAATATATTGATGTAATTATTTGTCCTCAAACTTTGCTTCTCCCTGAAAAATTTTCTGCAGATGTCCATGCTACAATGTGTTTAAAACTATACTATGATCTATTTATTTCACAAATTTCCAATTGCTAATTGACTGTCTTTACCAGTTTGAGCTATGGCTGCTCCTTCTTGCTTGGAAAAAATTATCTAAAGAATGTTAAAAATTCCTGGCTTTAAACAAATCGGTTATACTTAAAAGTGCCTTGGCAAAATACATGTAGCCAATCTTGCATTTTTACACCATCCTATAGGTTGGGTGGATTACTGAATATTTTGTAATGGCCCATGTCACACAAAACGTTAATAAATATATCAATTTCCCACCTTACAGAAGTATGTGGCAAAAATTCTATCATTATTTTCTACAACTTATGTATGTAAACAGTTTTTTCCACAATGAATTTAGTAAAAAGTAAAACAAGAAATTGGCTAATAGACTTACATCAAAACTAATTTAAAACTAGCAGTGACTAATATTCAGCCAAATATTCTGGATATATTATATTTATATAAGTTCCAGAAATCAAATTAAAAATACTTATTGAGCTGCAATTTGAAAAAATTGTAGACCTATAAGTTCCCACTGTCATCCATTCATCTGTCTGTCTTTCCTTAATTTCAAGTACAGAGTTACATAGATGAAAACCAAGATAGGTATGGAAATCTTAGTGGCAGGATGCCCCGATTAACTATATATGAACTTTTGATGAAAACCAGAAGTTACGTTATTTCAATTCAAAAGTTTTTCCCTGAAAGATCTTAGATAGATGATGGTACAACTTTATTGTTAAAGGAAAAGAATGATGTAAGGGGGCAAGACACTAATAAGTTTAGGTGGAGAGCATATATTTTAAATGAAATTAATTAAAAATATGATTAAAAATTGCAGTCCTGCATTGTGACAATGTCACAATAAATAATTGCTCGTGTTAATTTATAATTACGTATATATGAATAAATAATTGTGATTTACCTGAATTTTTTACTATTTTTTGTATGCGAAAGTTTTAAATGTTGTCCTTACATAGAAAATGGTTGCCTCTCCCTGTTGTAGGTTTTCTATTTCACTAAGATACTACTGTATTGCATCTCTCAAAATATGAGTATTGTTGAACATTCATTACTCAAATGATTTTTCTTGCTTCAAACATACATGCAAATGTACCGTTTACAATTTTTTAATTATTATTTTTGTATTTTTAACATACCTTTAAAATTTCATTGTACTTTTTGCATACTTTGTACTTATTAATGATTTTCATCTTTTATTGTATTTTAACTTCTTGTTATGAGTCTTTTTTCTTTGTTATTGTGAGGAAAGAAATCAATTGCTTAGTGACATTTCCTGATTTACTTATGATAAATAAACAATTATATATTACAGTGGTACCTCAGGTTACGAACGCCCCAGCATACGAAATTTTCAGGATACGACATGAAATTCGAACATATTTTTGCTCCACGATACGAACAAAAACTCACCATACGACGTTACATTAGTTCGCATTTTTCATTTGTTTTTCTTACTACAGTTATTTTTTTTAATGTATTACTTGGCTTTAATTTGAGTATGTTTTTCGCGTTGGAACGAATTATTTGGTTTTACATGTAATCGTATGGGAAAAGATGATCCACCTTATGACATTTTCATGATACGATCTCAGTTTCGGAACAGATTAATTTTGTATCCTGAGGTACCACTGTATATCAACACTATTAAGAAGTCTTTTGAAACATTATTAAGCAAAATAGATATCAGATGTGGAAACATTTTCTTAAATCTATTTCATTTTCAGTACCAAGAGTCATTTAATGGAAATGGTAAAGCTACATTCCATGGAAGATTTTTCCACTCTTCCCCTTACCAGTTGGAAGATAAAACAACCGGCTGATGATGATGTTCGCGAAGAAGCTCTGGCAACGGGTATCTATTTTACCATTTTAATGCACTTTGTATTTTATACTTTATAAATGATTAGTTCTTTCTCTATTCGAGGTGGTCTAGACTTAATGTTGGTACCCGGCCTCGCGTTTACAAAGAGAGGTCATCGGATCGGACGCGGTAAGGGATACTACGACCACTACTACAATAGATGCCTTCACGATCCCAACGGCCGTCCTTACACCGTAGCACTGGCATTCAGAGAACAGATTCTGCACAGCATTCCATTAGAGGAACACGACTTTGTGGTGGACGAAGTCATATATCCGGAATAAATCTAGTCTCCGATTCCGGTCAAGGCGTCTACTTATTTCTAAAAGAAGGTAGTTTATTTGTTTAACTACCACATAATTATATATAGTATTTTTACCTGTTTTCTTATATACGTGCTAACACGTTACACTTGTCTTCGGTGAAGGTACGAGGCATTAATAACTGGCAATTAATAGACTAGAAAACAATCAGTTTATTTAAGATAAATTCATATTTCTTTGGAAACTAATTTTTTCTCATTAATTAAATAAACAATTTTATACAAACGTACAAACAAATTGGGTAAAATAATCTTTCTAGACAATTCATGATATTAATATTATAGAATTAAAGTTTTGTAATTTGAAATCGGTCAGTAGAATTAATAAAAAAGACAATTCATGCAATGACTTTTGTCAAATAGTAAGTGGGAATTAATTTTACATAAAAATCAAAATTTAATACTATAATAATTACAAATTAAACTTTTTAGTATATTATATCAAACAGTTGTTTTATAATATATAATATTTGTATATACAGTACAAAATTTTATATGTTTACTTACATTTATTAANCATTCTAAAAGTGAAAATTGGGGTTTTTGTTGAAAGTTGAACATCTCTTACAAGAAACGAGTGGCTAAAATACACAATTTTCTATGTAATTAATGAAAAAAATTGAATTTTCCATCAAGTAGACTGTTTCTAAAACACGCGAAATCAAATTAAACTTTTTAGTATATTATATCAAACAGTTGTTTTATAATATATAATATTTGTATATACAGTACAAAATTTTATATGTTTACTTACATTTATTAATAAGTTGTGATATATTCTTACTAAGAAATTATTCAGAAATTATAAATATGCAGCACTGTTATATCTTCTAAGAATGTTGAAAAATGTATAAAATGTGTTCCCGTTAATAAAATTTACTTGTTTATAAATATTCCGTTTGAGGTTAATTTGGAATTTAATTTATCACTTTTTGAAATTTCAATGTACAAAAATTTATACTTCAATTTAAAATTTCTTTAACTTAAAAAATTCTCAAAGAAATTTTATTTAAATATCATACTGTATATTTATATATAACTTCAGTATTATATTATAACTCTGTTATAATATGAGCTTTAATAAAGACATTTGGTGAAGAAATTGGTTTGAGTGACATTTGGTGTTTAAGGAGCTTCTTTAAAAAAAATGTATGAGGAGTAATTTTCTAATTGAAAGAAAACTTTTGATGCAAAATTACGTTGTAGCAGACTTATTGAATAAATTTTTAATACATATTTTACTCTGGGATTGTGACAAATGTGTAAGATTTAAAACTTTGCAATAGTTATGTCTATTATTTGAAAAATAATGTTCAAACTTTCAAGCAAAGACAATGACTTTACATTCCATTAGTAAGGGTTTTTCTTTTTCTACTAATCCTTTTGCTCGTAGAATCATTTACAAACCATCCTGGAAGAAAGCGATTTTACGGGGCAGCCGTAGAGCAGAAATGATCCGGACCGATGGATATTTTGCATTAATTCATACATTCACTTTAGTTTTGCGTAATGCATGGTATATATTATGCATTGCTAACGAGGGACAACTAATATGCACATCAGCCGCCCTGTAGTTACGCAAGACTCCAGGTTTTCTGTCAATCAGATTATAGTGAGAATTAGCATATTTTCTGGATAAATTGATATATAATTATTAATATTACAGAATTGCAGTTTTGTACATAAACATAATTTTTTTTTTAAATTAAATAATTTTTATTTAAAATACATTAAATATTCCTTTTTTTACAAATTATCTTTCTATGAGTATTGTTCATTGTTTTTTGCTACTAGATTATTGCCTATCTTTCTATATGTATTGCATTAATACATATATAATATATGGTGGTGCACGAGTCAAGTAATTTTATAGAAACCTTAATGTTGTAGGAATATTTTTTGTAATAATACTTCATACATAATAGGTACAGAAAAAATATAAAAAATAAAATCTTACTTGAATGTTTAACCTTGTTTTTTTTTTAATATTTATCCACAGAAATTGACACTCTCCATTTACAAACAGTAAATGAATAAAATGTCAAGCATCGATTTGTGAAAAATCATATTAATAAAATAGTTTCGGCAATAATTCCATGTTATTCTTTTCTTTCCGATCTCTGGCTTTGATCTTCAGGTTGGTTTGCTTTTCATAATTGATTAAAGGTCTAAACATAACATGTTAACAAAATTAGTAATAGAAATCTCATTAACATACTAAAATTTAAAGTGATATATTTTTAAAAAATGATTTATTGGAGTTAAAATACAAAATAAAGCAACTTCTCTAGTACCTGGATCTTTGGGGGATATAAAATCCAATTGCAAAGAATTCAAACTCATTTAATAATGTATAGAAGATAGAATGTGTTGTTTAATTCAATTTGAAAGTGTTCTGAAATGATAAAGAACTCGTTTAAAATTAAATTTTACATTTATATTTTTCTATTCCTTTTAGTAATGGTGGATTCAAGTACATTCAAGTACAAGAGAAGTGCTTTTGTTTGGTGTTTTAGCCACTTATTCATGCTAATTCTTATTTTAATTTCTGATCATAACTTATTCTGTGTTGTTATTAGGAATCTTAATTACTATAATTAAAGTAGACGTTCAAATATATTTCTTTCCTGAGGCAGATTCATTGGAGGGTAACTTCGAAACGTTATTTTTTACATTTTCAGTGGCAAGTATGGTTTATCGGACCATTCGCCATGCGACCACTTGCACATGTTAATAAAAGGTACTTATAACCATTCAAATAATTTTAATTTTTGAATAATTACGGGTACAGTTAGTCCCTTTGCTTTTCTATAATTCCGCTCTGGTTTCTTGCATCACTTTCTACATGCCACAACATATTTTTACCATTTTTTCTTCTCATAAATTATGTAAGATGAGTTTGGAAGTTTACCAGATTTCGATTTCATCACCTACTTGATACAGTGACTGATACTAAATGGTAATTAGAGACAATCAATGTCGACAGTTATGTAACTCTTGCGTGTTGTAACATCCAGTTCTAGATTACAACCTTCAGTTTGAATCACTATTCTTGCATTATTACAAAATAAAAAACATATACAGTATATATATATATTCTCGTGTGATAAAGGTAATTTATTGCAAGGACGAAGTCATATATCCGGAATAAATCTAGTCTCCGATTCCGGTCAAGGCGTCTACTTATTTCTAAAAGAAGGTAGTTTATTTGTTTAACTACCTCGATAACAATTTATGTATTTTTAACGTATTACCCGCTCTTAAAAGTGGGTGCGGGTTATATACCGATTTAAATTGCAATTACCCACCCACATCTAGGGAACTGTCCATAATAGTAGGATGTGTTATACAAAGATTGTAACAAATTCCTGCCGGGTATACGCACAAAATACAGTGTTTATAATTCTATAAAATTATAATAAATCATATTTTATTTTTACAAAGTAAATTTATATTCAGGCACTTTTCTTTTATATCTATGATAAAGATCCAATCATTGGCACTTTTAAGATTATAATTTGTTTGTCTCTAGTGACTTTTTGATAAGTTAGAAGGTTAAAAGAAAGATTTTCAGATCAAAAATGGTTCTTCTTTTAATTAATAGAAAGAAAAGATGGAAATTAACTCGTTATTTTCCATGTTAGTACGAATTAAAATGGATTATAACTAATAGATGAGGTTGATAATTTATGTTGGAGGAATAAAAGTAATTTTTTTAATTAGTAAATTTTTAAAAATATCTTTTTTCTAATGTTCCTTTAAGGAACTTGTCGATCTTTATATATTGTAAACGTTGAAATTGGGTGACTGATACATAAATATATTTAATTATTGACGAAGGAATATTATATGTGACTATATATAAAAATAATGGACGGTTTTGTAGATGGGAATAATTCGATGTAATGCAGCAACGATCTTTTAGATATTTTATAAAACAATATAAAATGATGCTAAGTGAATACTTTAACAATATTCCTATAAAATTCTACTGTCTTTTCCTAATTTTAAAGACCTATAATCAGAAAATTTTAGTAAAAACTATGGTAAATATTTTCATGATTGTTTTAAAATAGAAGCAGGCAATTAATCTCGAAAATCTAAACAATTTAGAACAATTTTTTAAATATTTATTGGGTATTTTAAACAGTGTAAAGTTTCTTCTTATTGTTAATAAAGGAATTATAACTTGACAGGCATTACTTTCAATATAACCTACGTATTAATTTCTGTAATATTTAGGAATGTTTTCATACTTGTAAACAATTTCTGTGACTTAATTACGCTTATTGTAAAAAATGCTAATTCGCTTTTTATGATAAATTGTCTACATTTTTTTGAGATTTAAATACTATATTATGAATTTTCAATAAAGGGCGGCCCAAAAATCGGTTAACCATTTCAAGATATACCTTTATACTAATAAAAAGTCGTTCAAAATGAAGATCTCTACTTTCAATAAACATTTTTTAATTCCAAACTAGTGTTTAAATCGCTTTACTAATTATTATCGTCTTGGTTAACTGATTTTTGGACCACACCCGTATATAATATTTTCTTCCTCTATGTAGATTTACAGCTTATTGAACTTATCCTAAATGATGTCGGTTATTGTCGAGTCACTGAATTTACACAGTCAATCAGAGAATTAATGTGTTGTCGTGATGAAGAAATATTCAAAATATATTCTTCTTCTAGTAATTTCGAACTTTTCTGGATATTCAGGAACTAATTTGAGTTCTTTACCTAATTGTTAACTCACACTTGAGACTGGGTCAACAGTTTAGTGAACATTTATGACCTGTACACACGAACGAAGTCACTGTGTAGACATCTGGTAGTGGCACAACGTGGCACAACTTAATTTAAGCATTACGCCTCCTGAGATAGATTAACACTACGGCAACCACAAGTCCTACGAATATGACAAGAGTCAGAGCCATAATTCCCATGTAGAAAGCTCTCCTGCGCCTCTTTTGTAGTATCCGTTGCCTCACTAAAGAATCCCAACCTTCGATAGTCCACGGATAACTTTGTATATTCTCTAACTGCAAATTAAAATTTGGATATTAGAAATTATATAATTTGCATTAAAAAAAATAACATTGAAAATTGCTTTAATCCTTTGCCCTCTTACGCCATGTTTAATTACGGGTCACACGCTTAACTTGCACGTTCTACACGTCATAGGTCAAGAGTGCATTTAATTATGTCATCACTGCGTGTCACACAGAAAACGAGAAAAATTGCTAAATTTTGTATTATAAATTTAAATTATTTTAACAAATCTTATATTTGAATCACTCTTTTAATTCATTTCTCCTTTTTAAATGAGCATTTTTGGGTCTAACATGTGTACACGCATTTCTCGAAATTTACGACATTTAAACTGCGTAAACTTTATATTTCTAAGTATTTCACCAGTACGTAGGGTACTTAAACGCGTTTTAGTACTATAATCATGTTTAAGTCCTCCGAAGATTAATAAATGAGCCTTATGACAAACCGCATCGTTGAGCGTGACGTTCAATGGGGCGAAAAACTTCGCTTCGTCTATCGTAATTGAATTGACCTCAGTTGCTAAAGAAGTCAATTCGAGTAATTATAAAACGGAAGTTATGATTTTAAAAAATGGAGCAAAAATTAAATGTTAAATTGTTTTTTTAGATGATACCTTCGCCACTTTGCTACCATTGAAGCTATCTTTTACTGAAAGATTTTTCGAGTTTTCTAAGAAAATTCAAAGTTGTTCAGTGTATACAAGGAAGAAATTTAATTTAATGTATTATATTTTAAGTTTTTTTGCCTGTTGTTTTGGATTCGTTTGAGATTCAACTAACAAGTAAGAGGTATGAGAACATTAGAGATTAAAATCAGCAACAGAAAATATAACTGACGAAATGATATCTTAAAATCTTCTTTACTCATTGTTTTGGGTGAGGAGAACACTATTTCATCCCTTCTCACATCCGGAATATAAGATTTTTGAACGCATGGTTTGGCCCTCGAAGTCTTAACTAAGATAATGGCATAATTAAGGTGACGTTCGTGTCAAAACAATTTCTAAGATAAAATCTCAGAAAACAGGCGTTGGCGTGCATAAACAATCCAACTAAATCTTCCAAACACTACTAAAACGGAAGGATCTCGAAAAATTCGTCCGTAATCCCTCAGCGTCAGGAAAGAGAGCGGGTCTGAATACCCCAGGAAACAAAGGGATTTCTTTTTTTTTCCTCTCTTTCTCTCTGAAAAATAGTATACTTTGTTTTATTCACAATAGAATTTTTCACGTTATTAATTTTGAATAGAGATAGATGATCTCGTCAAGATGGTTGCGTACTCGCTCATATGTGGAAGATTATATTCTTTTCTGATTGAACTGCATTGTATGTTAGTTAAGGATATTCGGTTCGAATACACAACCTTGAACTTAATTACGGTCTTCTGTCACAATACTCCTTACTTGACTGAGCAAGATATCCTATTTTGTTTCTTCGCTACCTTCCTTAAATTTGGATAATATTGTCATCGAACCCTTCTTTCTGGGGCATTACAAGTGCATTTTCTAGAAGATCCGCTTTGAAATTATTTAAATTATATATATTTTCGATGTTAAACTATTGTTTATTGCATGTTTCCACAAGGTGTACGTGATTCTGCGTGCATTATTGTGCTCCGTGGAGCAGAGTATGCAAATGAAGCGCAGTATTGCGGTACATGGGAAAGCGTGCTATTTATTCTATCAAGTCTCCTAGCGCGTGGATATGCCCGCATTATTATGCAAATCCTTCAGCAAAAGATAGCTTCAGTAGTAAAATATATCCCTAGTATTTAAAAATGTATAATTTCCTGACGACCCGCGCTTTGCACATTTGAAAGAGGACCGAATGTGATTTTAATTCATAAATTACAAGAATTAATTAAATTTCGATACGCTCATACTCATCAATTCATCAGTTTTTCTCACGACCGTTTCCCTTAATAGAAAGTACGAAACCGGTCACGTGGCAGGCCATTTACCTCTGAACGCTTCTTAGTCACCTACTCTACTTTATACACATCGCTGATGTTCTCACTAATTTTTACCGAGTAGAATTCATATCGGAATTGCAGAATTTCGAAATTCGACTTACCGTTAAGGATTTTAAGGATTTCTCTGCCAAATTGGTCCTAGAATCGTCCGAAATTTCGGGCTTTTTAACGTCCTTATCCGCACTTTCCAAATCGGGCGTTTCTTTTTTAACGTCATCCTGTTTTTGCACATCGCCCGCAAATTTCACTTTCCTTCTTTGGCTGTAATATATAGAACTAGGGCTACCACACAAGCAGGGTCCGGACCAGAAATAGGGGTCTCCGTGCAGACGGTCGTACCTGTCCTTCTCTGCTAGGACGTCGTACCACCTGCCACAGGGACATCCTCTGGATTTGTAGGATCTGTCTTCTAAGACGGAACTGTCAGCCGATCCTTCCGGAGGGCATCTGATAACTTCCTCCCTTTCCAGAGGGGAGGACAGGACGTGGAAGCTGCGCCTGTTTCTGGTACGTTGTAAAGGGTCGCACGAAGGGCACAAATCGGCCGACAGGTCGGATGTCCATCCGTCGGGTTGAGTTCTATCTTCGAGAATGGCACGTATGTAGTAATCGTCGCAGGACCACTTGCCTCCCGGTTTTTGATACTTTTTGCACTTCCTGCAAGCGCGTACACCGGATCTCCTGTTGTACCTTCTCTTCCCCTTCTCCTTCAAAGGGGGGAGCTCGTTTTCGGACGGAACACTATCGGAAGTGGCTTGATCTCCTCTAGTTATCCCGCTGTCTTCCGAAGGGTTGGGAGGCGTCGAGGGTTTGGAACTGTTTTCTGTCGAAGGGGGTGTCTCTTCTTTAGTGCAGTCTGAGCGCGTGACTCCACTCATATCGTCTTCTGTCGTTGTGCTTTGGTTCTTGACTTCTGATTCCTGCTGACGACTACCGCCGTTCCGAAGGATGCCTCCACGTGACGTCGAAGGCTTCGGGGCAGTCGGAGGGGGTGTACCGCCTGCCATCTTGGAGGAAGTTAGAGCTGCTTCGTCTGGTGGTGTGGCGCTTGATCTACCGTCCGATTCGTAGATGGGGTTGATACGGTTGACGGAGTACGGATTAGTAGTCTCCGTGCGTCCGATGATTGGATCTCTGAGGTAGAAGGGCTCAAATGTTAGATCGGGTGGGGCTGTTGTTCTGTGTGTTTTCCAATGTCCCAAGAGTAGTTTCAACATGACAGTTATCACTGGAAAAGAAAAGAATTTTAAAAAATTCATGTTTACTCCTTTTCTTCACGTTAGTATAATGTAATGGGGATACAAATTCTTTATCAAAGTACTCTTTATTAATTATAGTATTCCTATATACACTATACATTCTAAACATCCCCGAAATTTTTATAATTATTCAACTTTACAAAACACTTCTCACTTTTTCCTACAAAATCAAAGTTATTATGCTACTGTCTCTTCGAGATTATATCCGCTGTACACTAAATATAGCCCTATTTTAAAAAAAAAATCAGGCAAATCATTTATTTCGTCTAAAATTAACCATTTTAACTTTTAAACACCTCTAAAAATACATATTTTAACAATTGCAAAGCGAAAACACGCGTATATCTCCTAATTTGCATATCGGTTCGACGAGTAAAACAGCGTAAAACTTTAAAATTTTTATATTATTGACAAAATAACCATTAAAGTTCGTTCATCCGGCGGACGATAAACCGGATTTTGCGTAAGTTATTTAAATTTATTTTAAGTGACCCTTCATTCACTCCATGGATGCTTCCCCTTATCTTCAATGAGCCATAAACAGGAAGCTTCCTCTTCGTTACGTAAACGAATGCTATCTGCTTTGTTGACATTGTCTGTTAGAGTAATTACGATGGTTTGCCACCGACCGTTATGCTACTACATTAACAAATCACGTGATACCCGTAAAGCTAGTATTTCCGGTCAGCGCTTTCTAGATTTCTTTCCAGTTTCTCAACTTTTTTCAAGCTTATATATTAGTTTAACACCTTAACCGAGTAGCCCATTTAGAAAGGGATACGTAGTCTTAATAGCTAAACTTTCTTTACTTTCTATGTGTAAACTAACCCAAAACGTGTTCATAAATCAAAATAACACGTAGATAAACACGTAAAAAAACTGCAATTCCTGCTTTTCCTATTAAGAAATGTGGACTTTTAAGTGGATCAGATTAATTTTTATAACTTAAAGTACCTTATAATTAATTATTATTTTACTATAAGAGAAAAAATTTAATTTGGAACGTAGTAAAAGAGTCAAAAGTTTACGACTTAAATTTGAATCCTGCTTTAGTTCTTCACTTCTTACGAGCCAAACCAGATACCAGACTCATAGAATTAAATTCATATACCTTATAGGAAGTAGAATATTTATCTTCCTAATTAATAAAGGTGGCAAAATCCTAAACGTAATGAAGATCATCACATAATTAAGATAAGTAACAAGAATCATAAGGAGATGCACGTTTGGATCTCGTCTACTCCCTTATAAAATCCAAAAGAAATCCATCAAAATCAATAGAAATGAGCTAAGAATCATCTTGGCTTTTCTCAATACTTAATTTTAATTAAGTGACCTCTACAATTAATTTTTCTTACCTTTTATAATGTAGAAAGGAAAAAAAATTTTCCATCGAACTCACCCCCAACATGAGCAACTTTCATCTAAGTATAATTGAAATTATTCGCAAGGTTTTTGTCAACATATCTTCTTCACTTTTCGGTTTCTCTAATCACGTGAATGAGGTCATGGTAATACGAGTCGAACCTGTCTGTTCACTCTTTCAAGGGTCGCAGGTCACGACCCGCGTAACTAATCATTATAAACTTACTATTTTATTAATAACTGGCATTACACGATCATTCTCTACGTGTTATTATCATATATTTGATGTTGCAAATATTTGAAACTCGATTTTAAATTAAGATCCTTCTACTCTTCTTCTCTTTCCATATTTTATGTCAAACCTCTTAACTTTTTAAGGGGTATATTTTTGGATTTTCAGGAATTATGTTAACAAATAGAACGTAATTTTAACTCATTTTAACCAAATTTTACATTCTAAAAGTGAAAATTGGGGTTTTTGTTGAAAGTTGAACATCTCTTACAAGAAACGAGTGGCTAAAATACACAATTTTCTATGTAATTAATGAAAAAAATTGAATTTTCCATCAAGTAGACTGTTTCTAAAACACGCGAAATCAAATTAAACTTTTTCTATGATTATAAAAAAAAATGCAATTACAACAACAATTGGTACGGAATTAAGATTATTTTATATTTTTATTCTCATTATCTTGGGAAAAAATCGATCGATATGAATTTTTAAAGAATCGGATCAGTGCCTTTCTTCAATACGAGGTCATTTAACAGCGCAATAAATGATTAATACCTTCGCAAACTATCCTTTTGGCACAATCCAGATACGAGAGACAAAGCAATCCTCGTGGCAGTTTGACCTTCCAAAATTCTCTTAAAAAAAGTAAATCTCTAGATACAGGAAATAAAAGAAAAAGGAACAACAGGAGTGAAGCGCAATTTCCTTCTGATAATTATAGTTTGCTACAAAATTTCCTTCAGTTATCTATTCCCTGAAGCATGGCAAAGATCAGAATATAGGTCGAAAGACTGATATTTTACGAAATATTTATATTTTTTTGTATGGAAAAGAGGAAAAATTTGAAAAGTAACAGAGCTTAACAAATAAAAAATTAAAAGAAAAATCGGTTAGACACGTTCAAAATCCATTATTTCAATTGTTGAACTTAAAGGGTCCCTTATGCGTGAATCGTGTTCAACTATGAATATTGTATAAGTAAATTATATATTCTTCTTCTTAATTATATATCTGACCGTGTAAATGCGTTTTTAATTATATATATGACTACGTAACCGTGATCTTTATGAGCTTAAATTGTCGAATATTTCACATTCTAGCTCATTCGTGAATGGAAGATTTCTCCTTCCTCTTGGTATTACAGACGAGTGCCAACATTTGAGTTTTAGTGGTTTGTAATTAAGGAATTTCTTAATTTTAAATCTGGAGATATTTATTTACGTAATTGGTATACAAACACAGAATTTATATATAAGATGATCAAAAAGTTACAGTGTACCTAAGTTGTATGATTCACAACGCGGGTACACCACCATCCTGAAGATGTATCTCGGGAAATTACGCATTCTTATAACTATAATCCCCATTTTCTAGTCACTAGCGAGGTTTAACATTACAGAACTTCATATTTTTGAGGCATAGTATACTAAGAAATTGCTAATCAACACCATTTACTCCATCTTTTCACTCGATGTTCCGGTTAGAGTATGGAGATTCCAGCTCACTCGTGAAAAAGAACAACTCGTACAATAAGGCACGCGTCTAAATTTGGTCCCTTTCGACCTAACAACAATAAGCGAGGAAGTTCCAGCTTCGAGCAATTCGTGAAAATCTCAATATTCCGTAACGTGAGAACTTTTCTATAATCATAAAAATCGGATCAGTGATTCATGCGAGGATAATTTAACATAAACGTGTGGTGAATAACCTTAACTCGATTAATTTTGCCTTTAAAAAATTTTAAATATCTTCATATAATTATAATATTCCGAGGTCGTCCACTCCGGTTATTGTTATCGCAGAAGAGCAAATTTATTACAGTGTCGACCTTGGATCGGTTATAGATTCTTTACAACTTATAAGATTCTTTATAAAAGATCGCCTTGAACATAATGAATTCTATTTCTAAAAATTGAATCAAATAATACGTTTTCCAGATAATATAAAGTACCCATATTATTGTCTAAATGATCAGCGATCTACTTCCTGCCACATGCCAAAGGCCTCCGGTCATTCTATATCATTACAAGACCATAAATTATACAGAACTTTAATGACGTTTACTGGGCCGTAATGAGGTCTATATCAATTAATTTACCTCCCAACTATAAATATAACGCAAATTACCAATTGTTAATTGCACTTACCTAGACCATTACCTTATTTTTATAACCATTGTGAGAGCAAAACAAAAATTTTCAAAGTAATTTGCGAGTATTCTAGGAGAGAACATGCCAAACTCGTCCTTGTTCCTCGAAGAATTTACCGATGATCCTTATAATTTACCATCAGTAACGTATCGTTCTGCGGGTTCTTCCATTGTAGTCATTAACCCAAAAGAGAGCTTTAATTGATAACTCGAATGCATCTAATTTAACTGGGAGCAGATTCACCATCTTACTTTTCTACCCACTCCCACTCGAATTCTTAATTTTATTCGATTAAAATTGAATAAAGATTACAACTTTTCAACCGATAATTATCTAAAGTAGTAATTTAACGTATTGTATATATACACGAGTACATTGTAACATATATATATTTATCAATACGTAATATAAACCTGTCAATCACCTTACTCTTGTACCATCTTCCAGTAATAATATAGTTTATCTTTCTTAAGTAAGTTTATAATTCGAATTTATTATTCAGATAAACCGATAGGAAGTGCCAAATGGTGAAGAGTAATAAATTGAGGCAACGCTGCCTCATTATACGAAATTAATAACGGGAATAAATATTGATGTAGTTTTACAATGAATAGAGTCAAACCTCGGTTTTCGAACAACTTAAATGTCGTTCGAAAACCGAGATTTCACAGGAAACGTTAATGTGAATTTAGCACTTTGATAAAAGTGAGGCATTTACTTCTTGTATTATAAATAGAAAATAAAACATACAAAATCACAATAAGAAATAGTAAAAATAAAAAAAGATTTAATTATACTAAATATGACTAAAATACAGATGTAAAATTTAAAAAATATGGCACATAAACATTTGTTGTTATTTAAAATCTTTTCTTCTTGCAAAGCAGTGTTTACAAACATGTATTAAATGCTCTTGACATAAAAAAGTTTCACATTTCAGGCATCGTTTACTCGTGTACCGATTTTTTTTTCTACCACACTCCTTGCATCTCTTTTTTTTTCTCGGAGTTGGGTTTTCCGTCGAAGTTTTGGGAGGGTCTTCCGGTTTGGACGGACGAATTTTTTCTGCGGCTATTCGAATGCTTGTGGGAAGTGAAAGCATTGATTTCCTCCTGTCGATCTGTTCGTACATCAACTCTAACCCCAACCTTTTTAAATATTCTCTTCTACTCGACACCTTCGAACAGTTTCCGTTCGATTGGTGAATGATCTGCGAGTTTATTCCGGCGATGTTTAACATGCAATAAAATATTATCATGGGCCATCTTCGGGTAGTCCGAGCGCAATTATACGTCCCGGTCATTTGATCGACCGTATCTACGCCCCCTTTCGTTATATTATAGAAGGTGATAATTTCGGGTTTTTGTAAAGAACCCGATTTTTGGTCGATAGAACCAGAATGGTGCATGGACGATAAGAGCAGCACGTTTTTATTCTTCTTGGGGACGTACGACACTAGAGTCGAATCTTCTCGAAAACCAAACATGCTGCTAGAAATTTTTCTTCCCGTTAAGTCCAAAAATATTTTGGGTATGACTCGATGGTGTTTTCGAATGGTACCCACGATCGTCAGCTTTTCCTTAAGTAGATCCATCGCCAATTTAAAACTGACAAACCGATTGTCCATGGTGATGTTTCTGCCCGATCCCGCTATGTATTTCGTCAACCGTTTCACCACTTCTTCGGGCGAATTGGAAACGGAATAAGGTCCCTCGGGTTGTTTCCCGCAATAAATTTCAAGGTTGTGAGTGTAGTACATCCGGGAATCGACCAACATAAAAATCTCGATGCCGTATTTGTTCGGTTTTCTCGGCATGTATCGAAGAAAGCGACACCTCCCCCTGAATCCTTCCAGCTTTTCGTCTATGGTGCAGAATTCGGATATACAATAGTTCTTGCGACAACTTTCTACGAAAGGGTCGATAATGTCCCTTACCGCTGCCAAGTTATCCGTTTGAAGTCTCTTATTCCTGGTTTTTTTATTGTCAAATCTGAGACACCCCAGTAGAAACATAAACCTTTTCGCCGACATGACGGTTCTCACCACCTCTAGACCCGTGCCGTCCGACGTCCAAATTTCAGCTGCGTTGCATCTGTTAAGTCTTTTACAACCGGTCAAATACATGATCCCTACTAACGCTTTAATTTCTATCAAATCCGTTAATTTGACGTCTCTTTCTCTCTTATAGTTTGGTTGGATTCTCTTGATTTGCTCGTTTGTGTACTTCACCACAATTCGTAAAATGTCCTCGCTTACGAATAAATTCCAACATTCCATAATGGACTTTGCCATTCTGGCCTCACCCACGGGACCGGGCAGATGCGTAGAGACTTTTCCTTTGTTTGGGCCGAGAGAGGGGGATAATTCGATCTTACTCCAGCGGGTCGCATCCCGTCCTACATAAAAAGGTTGGAGATCTTGTACTAAACTTTCTTCTTCCTCTTCCTCTTCCGAATCTTCCTCGTCTTCTTCCTTCGGTTCCCAATCTGTTTCCACTTCTTCCTCTTCGGAAGATGACTTGTCGTCGCATAAAACGGTCGCGACATCTGTCCAATCGAGTAAAAGCCTACTCGACGCCACGGCAGCCATAGTCGATCACCACGTGACAGGGACGCTATGACGTCAAATTAAACACTCCTGCTCCAAACTCGGGAATGTTTCAATAAACTGTAAAAGCCGAATGTATTAATATCGAGGCAATCTCTATAAATATTTTTTTTAGGTGAAAGGAATTAAAACATAAGTTGAGTCCTCATAGATCACTTTTAACACGTGATCGTCCTCTAACAAAGGAGGTGGAGGCGCCATTTTCAAAATTTGAGTTTCTCAAATTATTCAAATTTTCATAATCTTTCGCGTACTTCGTGTTTTGATGGAAGATGCAGTGTTAATGTTTCGCTTTCTTGCCTGTAAAGAAAGGTAAATTCATGTTTTATACTGTGTAAGGCTTTATCCTTGACTATAAATCTGATATATTTCATTCTGTTATGATTATTCGATCATGCATGATACATTACAATAATTGTTTAAATAGGCATTTCAATTCTTACTTTCGAGTCTTTAGTCCATGAAATCGTTTAATTAATTGTACTGTTAGGAATGAAATTTATTAGGAAATTGACTGCTTCAGTTCAGTATTAAAAAAAAAATATATATTGCTTAAGTGTGTACTTGCAAACATTATTTTAATCACAGAATGCATCGTCACTTCGATCTAAACTGTGGGGTGAATTCTATAAGTGAGTCATGGTGTTTCCTTCCCTCTTTGTCATCAAAATTGAAGCTGAAACTCTCTGTTTATAATGGCAATTGGCAAGCAATGTCAGTTCTATATTCTTCTCTTGCAGTCTCTGACAAAATTAAATAAAATCTTGATTTTTTAAGGAAATATTTCATTGACAGTGTACAGTAGATGAAGCGATTGTTCCTTTAATTGAAAATGAAACAAATTATTTTCTGTTTAAAATAAAAGGTTTGAAACTGTAGTCTAGGATAGTAACACTAGAAACCAGAAAAATAAAAATGCTGGGAGGAAAAGTGTCTAACAAGTAAGCTTAGGAGAAAATTAAATAATTGAAAATAACACCAAGCTATGCAACTTTTTCTCGTATGGAGTATTTGAAACGTCAGTCGTGGGTACGAGTCAGCTAACACATTGCAAAAAATGTGTTTTTTTAGAAGGTAGTTTACGTTATAACTGACAATTAGACTGGGTCACAGGGGAATGCTTTGGTATTAACGATGCACCTAGAAACACCAATACATTAGTGATTCCCTACTACTGCTTGAGTATTCGTGATTCGTGGCCTTTCTAAACCTTGGAAACAATCTCTTGGTTATTTTTTCTGGTTGAATTAGTTATTCGGTCAGTCACGGTTCACACTTTGCTAGAACTCATTATAATAGCATTAATAATATAATCTTTACTACATTTTATAATTATGTTAAGGAATTATATGCTATTTTGATGAGAACATAACTGTTTTAAATCATCTGATATAGGTGTTATTAAGTAATAAATTGCCAGTTGTCCCTCTTAATCTCTTACAGTGTGAAGGGTACGATTATAACCGTATTGAAACAGTTAAAAAATATATAATAGATTTATATAGAGAGATTACACTTATACATAAAATTATAGATTCGAGCTTAAAATTAAAAAAATTTCAAGCCTTTGTTAAATATTTAAACCCTTGTCTTGTCCAAATTTACTGTATAAGACAAGGTACAGGTTTCAGTCTACATTTTACAGTTTAAGGATTATTATAAGTTGTTAATTATTGATTCGAACTTTATTTGTAAGAAAGTAAATCTCATTAATTATAAGTTATATATATAATTAATAGGTGTTGAATCAGAGAAAGATTGTGAGAAAGTGTGCTAGAAAAGGACAGGAAGGTGTGGAGAAAGTTGCTGAATGGATGATTTGTAAGATTGTTGTCTCCTTTCACCCTTTTTGGATTATGAGGAATATTTTTGTATTATGAAACAATGTGATTTTTTAATGCTAAGACTGAATATAGTATTTCTGTTGTTATTGTTTTAAAAGTTTCGTCTACGTTATTATGCCAAAATACATTTTAAAGTACGAAATAGGAACATAAATTTAAAAAATAAAACGATGCGCATCGAGAGACGACTCAACGTCATTATTGTGTTAGGTGTTTTGATATCTACGTCACTCACACGTCAGAATGACGAAAACGGTACACGGGTCCTGTTTACGAACAATACTTCGCTAAAGATTCCACGTGCGTATTATTAATCTTTGGGTCTTATTTGTGATTTTCTGACACGTGATAAAACGAGAAAGAAAAGCCAACAGTAAAGCATTTAACTGTGTCAGGAACACTGCCACTAAAACACGTCTAAACGTAGGGTAAAAAAAAAAGTGCTTGGTTTTCTAATCGAATACTCCAGTTAATTTCTAAACACGTAACTGGTACCACGAGGGGAGCCAAGATTTGCGTGTTTGCGTGGCCCTTTTCAAGGTTGGCTACAATATATAGAAGGACATCGAACTGGTTCTGTTTCCCCGGCAATTCTTTAATATCGAGGTCAATATGGCGATTTTTTAATCTCATCCCGCATTTTAAAATTCGTAAACGTGTCCAAATTTCATTCCCTCACTCCCATCTTCTCTTTATAATGATAGTTAAATAGGACTTCTCGCGTGATAGAAAATAAACAGGAGTTTAACTCGTTATATAAGTGATAAAAAGACAAAGGAATTCGATATTTATCGTTAAACAATAAAGAAAAATAAATGATTTTTTTTTTTAGTTATGAATATTGCTCAACACTGGGGCGTATTCGTTACCTAATGAATTTATTCAATACACAATTCTTAAAAATAAAGTATAATTATCATTAAAATTATTATGTTATTATTATTATTATTAAAAATATTTTTTATACGTTAAAAAATCGCTGAACCATCGAAAATAACGTTTTGTAATTTGTGTAATTTCCGGTGACGTAATCTTTGCGGATTGCATCTAATTATTTTCTCGAAAGGAAGTTGTACACGGTTTGATTAATTATCTTTTGTTTGTTATCCGTTATATCACCGTAATCTGGTTAGAAATACGTTAATAGAAAGTACTTTACTGGTAAATAATTATTGAGTAACGGAAATGACAATACTGTACTCTTGTTTACTTATTTTTTTAAATATTTTTAGTATATTTTGCGTGCAGGAAATTATATATTTATCTATTTTACGTGCGTTTTTAAACCATAAACGATATTCGATGGACGATTTTACAGGAAATAATTTTTACAAAATACAATGTTATATATATGATCTACCGATTTATATCGGAGGTTGCTTTCGTAGAAACTCTTATAAAACGAATTCCGTACAACCCGGATACGGTAAATAATAATTTTATTCTCGCTGACTGCCAAACGTGTCGAAGTGGTTTGTTGTTTTGAATACGTAACAAAATATCAGAATTTTTAGTTGTAACTCATTAGCAAAGATGATAAAATTTAGAAGCTTTTTAATTATACCATTTTGGGCTTGTATTATTCAAATCTTGGTTAAAATAGGTTACTAAATGGCTGTATTCACCAGCTATTCACTACTGTAATAATTATTTTATAATCTATGAATTAATTATATACAATATACTAGTATACTAGTTATTTATTGAATATACAGCTCTTAAAAGGAATTAATTGTAAGGTATGTGCAATAAAAATAACTTGAATTTTTTCACTTAACTGTTTATAAAATTATAGTTAGACTTCGTAGAAGTTAAATGAATCATTTTTGAATAATTTGGACCTATTCCAGCGTAACAGCACGGGAGCAGACATAGTTAATTTCTACGAAGTCACACCGGCATCAAGAAAAAAAAGATTAATTGAGTCAACGAGAAGGAAATATGGAGAAATTATGACAAGTTCATACTTAGTAGAGAAGATGTGTGGAATTTAATAAATCGAAAATCTTTTAGATGATAACCTTGACCCAGAAAAACTTGTTATTCTAGACGACATCTTAAAGATTCTCGTCCAGGAAAAAAAAAATATTTGATCGAGTATCTCGTAAAACATTTTTCTTAACGAGCGAGTTACGTTCGTGAGAGAAACGTAAACAGGAAGAAACGGTTAATAAATAAACAAAATGATTAAAATATGCGGGAAAAGTTTTTAAGGTGCGGTATATCGTCACAAATATTTTAACTTTACAGGTAAAATACGCACGAGTTACTTATTAGAATTGTCCTACTTATCCAAAAATGATATTCGCTAATGAAAACAACAGGCCATATCTCTACTTCTAAATGACTTAAGACGGTTAGGTGGACACAAAATTAGGCAACAGAAAATCGTCTATAACGCAAGAGAACATAACATTGTGCGCTATAAAATCACCTACAGTATGAGGACACGACAATAGGTGACGAGTCATTATCTACAATGCAAGTTTTATGTTATCCTGTGAAGAAGACACAAAGAAATAATAACAATAAATGACTTTAGAAGCATCTACAAACAGAAGACGAAGCAACTCGTCGCCCGTAATAGTGACTTCTATAACGTAATTTCATCTGGGACACTAATAAAAAACTTGGCGAATCTGACAAACGAATAAAGAAGCAAAGTTATCCAACAATAGTCACCTATTGTTCTACTATTCGTGTCCATTGTGGAGCGTTACGAAAACGAAACTGAATTTATGTTACGGATTTTCTCTCACGAACGATAACATAAACTCGTCAAAGTTTTTACGGTCCTAGATCGATATCGGTTACGGACAAAAGATATATTCTTATATAGTGTCCGTAACGAGCAATAACCCAAGGATATAGGGCAAAACAATGGCCGCCTCGTCACGAACAATGTAACAAAACTCGATTTTAACCACGTGCGCTTTTTTCTATAATGTTCTGATTTATAAAATACTGTTATCTATCAGATCGTAACTTTCGAGAATTTTGATTTGTAAGATGATTATAGTCATTATTTTCCTACCGTTCCTATATAATTCGAGTGTTTTAACCGATTCCCCCATTTGTGTGGGATGGTAGAATTTGTTTAAACCTGAAATCTACCACTTATTGTGATTTATGATCACTTCGATAAGGTGTTTTTCTTAAAGAATATTGACTTATTTGTAAGAAGTGGTTATGCCCCGGAGCAACTTTTCCAGAAATCTATGTAATAAATATGTTAATGGATCGACTGGACGCACCCAAAAAATCAACTTTCAGGTGGTTTGTTAACGTGTCGCGTTGAAAGTCTTGATAGAAAAGTTGTT